AGAGTTCAGCAAATAATTACTCAAAGAGTAATGACTAATTTACACCTGGGATTATTTAGAAAGATATACATGCTGATATACAGAACAGGCACAGTATGCATCTGTGTAAGCAACAAATGCATGTGCAAACATGCAGCCACCTGATCCTCTGTAGCCTAAGTAAAGGCCTGGCGAGAGAAGAAGGAAATGTTCTAGCATGACGTTGTGGGAGGCACTGCTCACAGTTCAGCAAAATCCCTGTTTGATGGCATAATGGCATTGACTCATCTTTTATCTACTGCTAGGAGATGTACAGTGAGATATTATCGTTACTGGCAAAGGAATGAAGGTCGAGAGTTTCGTGCAACCAGCAACCCACTCGTTGGCTTCATGAGCGTGTTATGACGAGCAGCACTGCCTGTATAACCCAGTCACTCTGCAGAGTCACTAGGAGTAGGACAGGTCTAGATCTGAATCCTTCTGAGGAAATTAGGAGACCTTTCCTCTGATTTTTAGAGAAATTGATGTGCCCCTTTGACCCTTATCAACAAAAATAATCTTGGCTGGTGTGTCGTTGTGAAGTCTATGGCAGGAACACAGGCCAAAGCTCACAAATTTTTTAACTTGTTACACAGACAAACTCCCTCTTGCTAAAAAGACAGTTTCCCTGCTAGTAGATAAGGAAAAAATAAGATGGTTTTCTTTTGTTATGTTCTCCTCCTGACAAACTCTGCTGAAGGAACACAGACATAAAACAAGGTTTACGGTGGAATACCAACCATGGATAAAGCAAACCTCAGGATCTGCCTGCCTGCATTCATCTTAGCTATAGCTGTGGTTTTCTAGCTGCTTCTTTAATGAAAATGTGTGATAAAAATAAACCAAATCTACATTCCTTGTGCATGCATATCTCCATGGATTTCACAGCAGGAATTTGGCCGTCTGTGTGTATACATGCTATTAAGTTACAATTCCATTAGCAAATTAAATAACCATGTATTAAGAGGAAGGCAAGGGTTAGGGACTGGTTTTCTTCTGTAAATTTGCCAACTTGGCGTGGCAAAGTGAATGTTCTGACTCAAGTCTGACTGGATCAAGAGAAACACTAGTTAATAGAAGCAAGACCAAGCAGAGTCTACAGAAAGGCACATTGAAAAAGGTCAAATACTTTGAACTTGGACACTGGAGGAGAAAGACGAGTAAGATGGAGCAAGCAAGTCAGGACTGTGAATTAAAGCAGTTTAAAGTGAGGTGGTTCGTAGGAGAATCTGACCCACAAACTTTGAGAAACTCAACCTCCATCTGGTTTCAGTGACCCATCACTGTGAAAATTCATGGTAATATGATTACCTTTTAAGATATGGTGCATTTTGAACCGTTAGTTTTGGTCACCTGCAACGCTTAATAAATGGGAAGCAAGCACCAATAACAAAAGCAATGACACATCTATCACCTTCAAAATATCACCACCCACTCTAAATGTACATCTTAGAGCATTTTTTAGATGATGCTAGTCATTGTGTGCAGTGGTTAACTGTATAGGGCTCATTCATTCCTGTTCAAAACTACAGGCATGACTATAACTGAGGATGTGTCAAAAGGAAATAAGAAAATTATCTCTGGGCAATTACTGAAGAAAGGGTGCTTGACTACAAAAAGTGGTAGAATAATGTTACATTTTTGCAATAAAAATAACTGCACAGATCATAAAGGAAGTAAAAAAAAAATTAAATACAAGCAATGATTACCTGTCTGTATAGGTCATGGATATGTCAACATTTAAGAAGAACCAAAAAAAACCAGGAAAATAATTAGGGTATGCATCGTAGATGGTATTAATCTCATTGATTTATTGAAGGTATTCATAATTTTCCTCTTGTCATTACAATGCAATCTTCGTTGTAATCTTGGTTTATGTTATCAGTGATCATCAATGTACCTCACCAGCATGAGTGATCGACACTTAACAGAATCGATGGATGTCAGTGCCCTTCTGGGAGTGTGCCCTGTCTTTGCTGTTTTTCTCCACAGTAGCCACTGATTGGATACTGAAGACATTGAGTAGTAAACACTTTGAAATTAATGAATTTGGGGAAATGGAATACCTAATTTGTATTGATTGTGCAAATGTCATTGCTTTGCCCTTCAGCAGCCTGTCCAGAATGTCCTATAAAGCCATATTCATCACTGGACAAATGCATGTAAGTTAAAATAAACAGCAGAGGAGCTGCAGAAATTATGTAGGTTTTCACCTCCTACTTGTGATGTAGCTCACACCTAACTAAATTAGCAGTGATTAAGAGTCATGAACACACAAATGACATTTTTCTCCTCAATCTATATTCTCAACCTGATTCCTGATGGAGAGAAACTTGATGTCAAACAATTTGAAATACACTGCTTAGAGCATGCTTAGGACTAATCTTTTGGGCAACAGACCAGACAATCTAGTCATCTCCTGCAAAAGTCAGTAATGTGACAATATGACACAGACTGGATTAAAACCTAGAAGAAATGTCCTAATCTTAGACAATGGAATTTAGCTTTTAGTTTAAGTTGCATGTTCACAAAAAAACCCAACAGAGCTACCTTCAGTATTGTGGCTTACTCTGAAAGTCACAGACAATTAAAAGAAAATATATATATATATATTTCCCTGCACAGCTACATCTGGTCCTTTTAAGTTATACTGTAGAGACTTATGAACAGTGGAGATGATGATGTAATTTACTCTTGGCCATAATAAACCTAAGACTCCAATGTTATGATCTCACATTTTTCATGAATATTAGAAAGAAAAGAAAACATCAATCACCATCTGTAGATGTGAATATTTAGAACTCTGTATTAGCAAAATCATATCAGGCTCCTTTTAAGCCAAGTAGCTGTGTGCCTAACTGATCTTATTTCCATTTTTATCAGTTTTACCTTTGTGTAACATTGACTTCAGCAGACACTTGTCTTTACACCGCAGTCACAAAGGACAGAATCATACCTATATGAGTTCAAACCAAGAAAGATGAAAAAAATTACAAAGGTTTTTGACAGCTATATTATAAGAAAAATGATCAGATACAGATGACAGCAAAGCATTTCTAGCCAAGAGAGTTCTAAGACAAGTTAAGCAATCAATCATCTACATCACTCACTATTCATTGAGTCGACGTTCAACATCTGAATCAGTCATTACAAAGTAAAGAGAATTAGTAAAGTCTCTAACAAAATGCAAATAAGTGAACTGGAGGACAATACAGTCAAATTCTAGAACTTGGCAGGAAGCCAGAAGAATTATTTTGACAAGAGTTCTTGGGGTGATTTGATTGTTACAGTTAAAGAAAAAAAAAATGGGGGAAAAAAAAAGGAACTTCAGCTTTTAGCAGTACAAGTTTTAAAAAGTATTCTGTGATACAAATGTATAGTTATATTTAGTGAGAAAAAGTGTAGAATAAGGAACAAAATATAGTGTGTGTTCTGACGCTTTGCTTTGCGAATTAACTCTTTTTGGTGCTAGTGAGAGTTTTTTCAAATAAATGCAAAGAACACCAGAGCAAAGCTAGACAAATGTTACGCAGCTCTCATTGTTATCTTTATCTCCCTTGAATATGTTGCCTACTGTTGTTTTCCATGTTAGAGTATCAGCCTGATTCCAAATCCACCTGGTATAGGTGAACATGAAAAATAGGTTTAACATCTGTGGGACTACAAAGATGCAGGTGCTGAAATTCTGTAAATTCATAAATACCACTGTTATGTAGGTCCAAAAAAGCCTCACCTAACATATTACTTGTTCCTGTTAAAATAAAAGAAGGGGTGGGGGGGAGGGAAGAAGAAAAATAAGATTTAAAAAAAACCCCTCAATTGAAGTAATGGTGGAAAATGGGAGGGATCTTACTGAAAACCAGGAAGTCATAGCAGGTAGCTGCACTGTTAGGCAAATCCTAGACATCCTCAGCTTGCACATGTGGCACAAGTAACACAAATGTTCTTTACGTGAAGCTTGGGCCATCAGCCCTTGAATTTGTGTTCACTCCCTTTCTCATCTGTCCTCCTGGGTGCATCAATGGAACTGCTCCTGCTCCTAAACTGCATGTTTGCCTTCATACTTCTCAAGGTCAGGGCTTGAACCACATAGGATTTGTCATCACCAGGAGTCTTTCTTGTTGATGACTTACTACTTGCTGGTATGCCTTAAAATGATAGAGATGGTTTGGTTTGTACTCCTGATATGAATGTAGATAGACAGGAATAAAGAGAAATTGTTTTCGTGAGTATTTATATAATAGAGTCTATATTATATCATGGCAAAGATATTTTTCAGCAGTTTCAGAAAAGTGTGTATGACTTTGTTAATGTTTGAATAGCTAAGATGCTGAGGATCCTTGTACTTAAAAAAATTATTGTTAATAGCAAGTGCAGTGGCTCTGTGAGGAGCATGAGAACTAGAGTATTAATCTTGAGTTTAACAGAAGCCCAGTTACCTTCTCTAGCTTTGTTCTTGTTCCAAGCAAGGAAACAACATGCTGCCTATGTCAGAAAGCTCAGAAGAGAATAATACATGTAAAAATAGATGCTACATGTTACTTCCTCCCATCAGCTAGTCATTCTTATCCTTCTTCTCATAAATTACAGATCTATATGGAATAGTTTTTTCTGCTGAAAGAAGATTTTGTGTTTAAATGTGTTTTTTATCAGCTGGTTATCCTCAAATTTATCTTGCAGTTCTCATTGATTGAACAAAATTGAACTTTGTCCAACAGTTGATGAGCTACATGGATAGAATTTTACCACCTAAAAGTTTGTATAGGCTTTTAATTGATGTTGCTGTTGTTTTGACCTTTGTGTAGAGCTGAATCTCACAAGCAGTTTCAGTGCTTGAAATAAAAAAAGTGCCCAGGTACATAATGTGTTCTCTAGTTCCTACTCACTGAGCATAAATTCCTAAAATGATATCTATACAAGTCAAAATATGTCTGTATTTCATTTGGCCGTATTAACAACAAAGTATTCCCTTTATCTTACAGAAATGTTGGAATCCAACAATATAATCAATTTCAATGGACTAGCTAACAGCTCCAGTTACCACACTTTCCTCTTGGATGAAGAACGGAGTCGGCTGTACGTTGGAGCAAAGGATCACATATTTTCCTTCAACCTGGTTAACATCAAGGAATATCAAAAGGTACATTCATTCACGTTCTGTGCAATGTAAATATATACTTTTAATGTTGAAGACTTGTTATTACTCAGAATATGTTGTGCACTGTTGGAACTATGTAGTAAGTGTTTGGATGTCAGGAGTACTATTACAATGAAAATATTTGCTGACTCTATGAAGAAAAATTTATAACCAGCCTATGACCTTTGACTGTATAATCTGCAATATTTTTTTCAGACTACAAAAAAAAAACTCAAAAAACAAAAGGTAAATGATAAGTGAATAATCTAGCTATTTCGCAAACAAGACATACTTTCATGTGTACTCCTAAAAAAGCCAAACATCTCTTATGACAGTTTGCACAGAAAGGCCTTATTGCTCTTTATTTGTTTGCAGATAAAACAAGCTGTTTGGGAGTTCAGTGTTGATTTTTCTTCTTTAACCCAGCACTTGTAGGACCTCTGCTTCTGCTGCTTTTAAAACAGAATTGTTTCAGCATTAATAAAAGAGGAATAAGTCAATAAAATATTGCCATTCTTGATGAAGAGTATAATTTTCCAGTATAAATTGGTGACTCATTAAAAGCTGACAAATAGTTTAGTGTTGTTCTTCTATTGAAGTCTAAATAAATAATTTAATTTTTCATTTATTTTACTAAGACGAAATGCCAAGAAGGTACACAATGGGATGGAGGTTTGATTTGTTATATTAAGTATTTTGATGGTATATTTTAAAATCCAGAGAGTACCCTTTTATGAGAGATATATTGCTTTAATACCCAGGGATTATTTTTTTTTCTTGGTGTTCCTGACCTTTTGGCCGTTCGACTATTAGCTTCCTAAGATGATAGCAATAAATACCTTGTGTTTTCTGTTCAGAGGGAAGACAGGCTATTCATTTGTATTCTCTAAGGATAAAAGGATAAAAGGAAAAGTGGGTATTTTCTTTTCTATTCTCTTTAGAGCAGCTATAAAGGAAACTAGCTATTTATTTGAATTCTCTGAGGGATCAATAGCTTAATGTGCAAAACATCTGGAATAATTAAAGGAAAGAAGGTGTTTCCATTGCAGAAAACAGCTCTGTAGAATGGGAGGAATTGTGTGCCTTACATACTTACATATTTAGATACCTTTAGAACACTCTTTGAAGTTATATACAAATATTAAAATATTAAATAAAGAATTGCTGCCAGTAACATGAAAATGTATGTTAGCAACAGACTTAGAGAAAAGACTTACAGTTTAGACATTAGATTTAAGAATAGGCAAAAGGCTTAAAGAATTTGGAGATCTGTGTATTATAGACAAGGGAATCATGTAAGAAACTTAAAATTACAATGCAGCTGGTGTTGCACTTGAGCTCAAATTTTACCAGTTGTTTCTTCTGCCATGTAAAAAAACCCCTCAGGTTTCTGTCTAAATGCTGATGGCAACATCAAAACTCAAAAAGCCGAACCTTTCGATTTATTAAAACCAGATTGATTTAGCTGTCTTTTAAACCAAATTTGAGGAAAATGTTGTGCTAAGGAAAAGAACATATAGAATAATGGTTTTAAAAATATAAAAATTTTTGCCCAAAACTTGAACTGAACTTGAACTGGTCCTTTTGGGAGATCTGAGAAGTTTGGTTAATGTTTTTCAACGTAGTAAATTTAAATTTTCGCATGTCTCTGCACGTTTTAAGCTGAGAATAGCAAGAGGAAGCAGTGGGAATCCTTTGAGAGAGAATTTGCTCATAAAATTTTCAGCCTTATTTTATAGACTTAGCATGTTCGATTGCTGTTTGAATTTCATAAGAAAATTTTGAATAAAAAACTGTTGCAAACTGTATTTTCAAATGTCATATATAACATGACCTTTGATCTCTTCTGTTATCCATATTCATCCTTCTTTCGTTTTGTTTTTTTTTCATTAATACTTTGCCTTTTACTTTCTATATTGAACACCAAGACTGTAATCCAGACTTATGGCCATTCATATTGCATTATCTGAAGCTCCCAAATGAATAGCCTGGCATTTTATGGGAAGATCATGTTTTATTCTATATGTAATTCCTAAAAGCTTTTCAAAGAAACATGAATAATTGACTCTGAGGGTCTCTTGATTTTCTCTGTATGAGGTGAGATCCATTTTCCACTAAAACACTACAGCAAACCTTAGGTTTAGGATTAGTTGTGTTAGGGTAGCTCTATAGGAACAGCATAAACATTTCTATGGTGTGATACTTTGCAAATCCTATGGCTTCTTTTTATTATTTAATTAACTAAACCTAGCAAAAGAGTAAACTGGTAGATACACTGAAGAGGCAAACAGCTCATTTCTGATGCTGTAACTAATGTGTGATCGTATTTCACACAGATCCCATTTATTGTTAGCAAGTATCTGCTATTTTTTCTCTTAGTTTTCATTCCATTACATGAGATTTAAAACATTGAAAGAACACTCACTTAATGCAGAGTCAACCATCTTATCATTAGTATTTGGGATTCACAGCTGAAATTCACAATACAGACTATATTTCAAAATTGTCTCTATTGTGACTTCTGTTATCCCTGTTTTGTTCCCAGCATTACAGTCTGATTTTTGTTTTGTGTCTTTAGATTGTTTGGCCTGTATCTCATTCCCGAAGGGATGAGTGCAAGTGGGCTGGAAAAGATATTGTGGTAAGTACAAGTCTTTTTAGCTTTTGTTTTCCTTTTATAAAACTTTGTAAATATTTTATTATGTCTTATTGTGTTAATTCTTAACGTATTTTTCCTACTCTGTAAGGTCACACATCTGATCATAACTTCAGGCTTGAGTTTTATCAGTCATCTTATTCAGCATAATGAAATTTAGTCTTCATGACCAAGGGTTTAAATTTATAAATGTAAATCATGTAAATGAAATAGAATTTATCTTTCAAAAGAAAAAATCAGTAAGAAAGAAAAGGGAGAAGAGATATCAGAATGAGAAATATTAACCCCTTAATACTCATCTCCTGAAGTCACGGTAAATAATATTTTGACCTATTTTTTCTCTGCTCCAGGTTTCAGTCCTACAGTGAGCTCCAAGAAGTGCTTTCTCCTTGTAGCATCTCTCTGGAGCCAGAGGGTTCCCCTGAGCTCTTTCCTTCATGGAGTTCATAGCAATATTGAGGTCAAAGTGGTTTTAACATTCTCCATTAGTTTTGGTGCCTCAGGAAAGACCCTGTTACACTAGGCATCATTTTCTTTACATTTCCCCTCATTCCTGTGTACATCATATTCCCTGTATTTATGAGGTAGGAGAGACATAGCCAGTAGCCCCCAAATAGCAGTCATTCCACACTGATAATAATTGTCTTCTGTATAGGAACAGAATGGGAAATAAGAGGAAAGGGCTGAAGAAGGGGGAAAGCAGATAAAAAATACATGCCTGCAATAAACCAAACAAATACTTGCGTAGCAAAGCCAAATGGGAAATCATTGTGGTTGCCAAGGTATAAGTGAGAGTGGAACTTGGCCCCGTGTGGATATGCTATTGGCCTGATTTTCAGAGATGATTCTGTAAAATATTCATAATGCCAACCATATGCCTCTAGAGAGCTCCATTTGAATAATTTCCTAGGTCATAATATAAATAGTTTCATCAGTCTTTACCTAGGCCATAGAGGACAGTTGTCTTCATAAAAAAGCCGTTTGGGAACAGTAGAGGTGGATTAGGTGAAAGCTAGGAAATGTGGGCTAAGCTATATATGTGAAGGGACAGCTGAAGTGCCAGAACTTAGGCTATCTCATTACATAAAAATAATACATTAAATTAATCCATATTCACATTCACAAATAATTTGCAGGAGTCCTTTGCAAGGTGAAGCCTAGAGTACCTAATATTCAAGGTTAAAAAGAAAAAAAGGCTAGTGTTAAATATGTGAGCAAATTAACTAGCCTTGCTGCTTGATCTTATGTGTATTATGATATTACATTAAGTAGATTTTTTAATAGCTGGGGTAAAAACCTAGGAAATTAATAGGAGATTCAGTGCCTAAAATGAAAGTATACTCTTTTATTTTGAATAATTATTTTCAGAAATTCACAGTAGTAAGAGTATGCTTTGTATATTGGACCATGCTGATTCTAATGCAGTTGTGGAAAATCGTAGAGACACATATTCTGGAGTAAACTGGGAAGTTCAGGTCCCCATCCTCTGACTGTGCTAAGCTTGAGAGGACATTTATAATGTAACTTCTGTTCACCTTGATTGCTTTGCTTCCTGTGATATTAGGACAGCTACACCTGCTGATCACGAGCAGAAAGTGAAGTCCGTACCACACTGCCGTGCAGTGTGTGCCCCTGGCACATGAGCTGCATGCTGTGATCCTGTGCATTAGGGGCAGCATTGCCATGAGCTGGTGGGCAAAACAGGAGCGCAGAACTCAGCACTCAGTGCAGCCCAAACTGAGGATAACAGCAGTACAGCAAAATGTTGCTAGAATCTGCTAATTAGTTAATTAGTTTTCAGGAACATTTTCACATGTAGGGTTGTTAGTGTTAGTTTTGCTTTTTTTTTTTTTTTTTTTTTTTTTTTTTTTTTTTTTTTTTTTTNAAGAGTAGGTGAGAAATAAAAATAAAATAAAAGCATAGGTCATGTGTAATGTGGGTCCAGTTTCAGTAGGCAGGTGGAAAGATGGAATACATATCTTGGTGTGCTCAGAACATCATCTTTAAATATTTACAGCTACTTGTTCTTGCCATAAAACAGTGCATTACAAGCAACATATTTAATGCAACTGCTTCAGCTGTAATTACCGATAAAGATTACAGATCATTTAACAAACTTATTATTCCTCCCTTATTTATTCCTTAAAGCCATTGTCAGTACCTTGGGAGTGTCAAATACAAAGGCCATAAAAATAACTCAACAGACTCTAATTAGTGGGAATAGGAGAAATAGAGGACAAATACAATGAAATGCAAACCATGCTTGATTTAATAATGCTTTCAGCATGTACCACTTCTAAGATATTATATGCTCTTCACTTATGATGGTGCAAAACTTTCCATATGACAGTCTATACTTCTACACTGAGGTCTCTTTTTTTTTTTTAAAAAAAAAAAAACACCAAAAAACCAACCTCTTTTAATTATTGATCTCCAGGGTAAGTCAGTGCTGAAAATGCAAGTCCCCACTAATGGGCCAGGTGCACTGCAGCAGCTGCAGCACAAGTGTAACCCTGGCCCTGCCCCACTGCTAACCTCAGCTATGACCTCAGAGATTTCCTCTCATAATTATAAGGGGTAATTTACCATCGTTTTCACTCCTTCAGAGGGATTCCTTACCCTGACACTGTCAGTCATGCCAGTCCAGGCACAGCAGGTTTGTGGCTCAGGACAGTCCACACGGGATTTGAGGAGAGCAGCTAACGGGGCTGATTCCCGCTCTCCTGCTACCCATTTGTTACTTAAGCAGTCATTTATGTTTCTTAAAGGGCTTAGTATATGTTAATTACTTGAGCTTTACTCACTTTATAGCTAGATAAAGCTTTTAAAGTATGCTTTGGATCTTTTTTTCATATGAGTAAGCTGAGAAGAGATGCTGGAAGACTCGCCCCAGCTATGCAATTCCTACTTACAGCAGGACTTCTCTGACAGAGGTTAACTGCTACACTTTCCCACAAAATATAGATTTTTTTCCAATAAAATCATAATTACTGTCCCATGTAAGTACTTAGTATTACAATATATTTCCATTTCCTCAGTATAGAGTATCACAAGCACCAAAGTAACGCTGTTCATGAAAAATTAAAGACTATAAATAATAAATAAGATATTTGCTTGCGTAATTCAACTAAATGAGCAATTCTGTGAGGATTTCTTGCTATTCTGGACTTCAGTGTTTTATTTGATCTATTCTAGTTTCTGTAAGTCCTGTGAATATTTCTCATGATTCCTGGCCAGACCTTGGTAATGATCAAAGAACACAAAGTCTCTACAGAATAATTCTCAGCTTTTCTGCTAAACTTACAGAACAGTCATGCTGCTAGTCATATTCCTCACCAGTGAGCCTTAGTATTTTTGTTTAAAAATCTGACAGTCATCTGGGACCGTGCGAAAACACATGGCAACCTCTGCATTACATGTGGGTTGAGTAATAGGTGACTAAAAAAAACCAAAACAAAACAAAAGTGGCTAGAATTCCACTCTGACATTCTTGGGATATCATAAACCAGCAAAGCAAAGCCTGGGTGATTTACAAAAGTTACAAGAAAAACTAGTTAGTTTTGCAGGTAGGGATAGGGCAGAGATAGGTTCCTGACTGGAAACCTCATTTAGTCCTTAAGCTGTTAATTTACCATGGTTTTAAAAATTTTGGCTGCTGTTTAGTTGATAGATCTCTGCACTAGATTTGACTGAGGCACCACAGCAGTAGTTCATGTTACACAATTAATCAGAGACATCTCTATTAAAGGGTATGATAGATTTCTATGACTTCAAGGCTTAAAAGATGTGTTTCTGAAGGGCACCTTAGGATGTTATTTTCAAGTACAGTTTGACTATCAAATTTATTTAGTGGCTCTAAAGATTCCAGCGCAAATTAAATTGTTTAAATGGTCCCTTCTGGCCTTGATGTGTATAAACCTTTAAAATTTCAATGGGTACTTTAATAAAGCCACACAGGACAAGCTGCATGATGACAGACATTTATGTACACTTTACATGCTGTATGATATTTGGCTTCTCCCTGGATGTTTCTGGTGAGAAATATACATTGATGTACAAACAGATGCAAAGAGTTCCAAGTACTTGGTACCAGCAAGCTTCCCTACGTGCTCTGTCATGTGAACATACACAGGTACATACATGCAGGTCCTTACAGAGCTACACTTTTGTGTACACAGCTAAAGTGTATCAGCAAAATTGTGTGGGGGTAAGCACTGACTGTATTATAGTTTATAGGAGATAGGCATCTACTTGTGCTATTTAATTGCTATTAAATTTTACCTAGTTATTAACTTTTACCTGACTTCAATTGCAATTGATTTTTTTTATATTTTATAGTCCTCTTGATGGTAATTTGGAATCACTTCAGGTCAGAAACCTATTTCCAGTGAGGAAGAAGCAAGACTGTTTACACAATATATCTGTATTCTGTGCTTGCTTCTTTGCATTCAAGTGTGGCTGGCACCTACTTACTGAGTTTATTGTTCATGCAGGTGTAATCACATGACTGTAATTTAATTCACCATCTCATTTGTTATGATAATACTCAAAGCCAAGATGTTCATATGCCATCTCAGTTTAGGCTTCCTTTAAACTTTTCCAGACCCTCTCTAAATTATAGGAAGGGAGGGGATGGATCTATAGGTTTATGGATCCATCAGTGTGTAAAGATTTAATTTGGAAAGAAAGAAGAAAAAAGAAAAAAAAAGGAAAAAGAAAAACCAGAAAAGAAAAAGTTATGTGTAACTCAACAAGTGTCCCTCAGCCATATCTGGTGATACTTTGGAAAAATAAAGTTGGCAATAAATGAGCACAGTTCCCTTTAACTCATTTTATTACTGTAGTTGCCTTGGGGAAAATAGAAGAACATGGAGGCAGAAAGTAAAAGTAATTCTTTTCATCTGTTATTGTAAACAAAGATCTGAAGAGAGAATCTGAAAATTAAATATACAATGCTGGCTGGACTTAGAAAGCCTGTTTCTAAA